ATATATATATATATATGCATACGCAATCGAGGGATGTATTGGTTTTGTTTTTTGCCGACACCCGGGCAGCACCCGAAACTGCTTTGGCCAGTAACACCCTATCCGTACGTACCCCACAAATCCAAATCCGAAAACCCTCAGCACTCTGGTTCCCCAGCCCTGCATGCCTTGTAACCCAAAGGGTCCAAATATACTACCATCATGGAATCAGGCCCCTAAACACCATTCTCATCATGGTTTTGGGGGGGCCTAATTCCATACTAGTAGTGATATGGGCCCCTTTGATTACAGAAAAAGTTACTAGAACCTTCTAAAAAGAACACCCCAAATTGATAGAACCCTTTGAAAGAGAATCTCTCGACGGTCAGGAAAATTGTTAGGCTTGCCCGACCCAGGTGTTTTCGGGTGACTCTGTGTAGGATAGACCATACCTCAAGCGACTCCTCGCTTGTAGGGTTTAGGGTTAAGAGGTTAGGGGCCGAATGTATGGAGATGATTTTCTTGATGCTAAAACTCCTGCATTACCTGAAGGACCGTAAACTATGGGAATTATGGTATTTTTTATGGGTAATGCAGGATTTGTATCATCAACCGTAGCTGCGATCTCATCAAAACGTCAATACTTGTGGCTATCGGTAAACCATAAACCTCCAAACCCTCCATGGGATTTTGGTTTTAAGGTCCTCAGAAAACCCTCTTTGAAGGTATAGTGTAGAGGACTTCGAAGAGTGTGAGCGTGTTCAATCAGTGGTCTGCATTAGTCCACGCTCCGTCTGTGCGTACACTGAAAGGGCCAAGTATCTAGTAATGAGGTTTTGGCCTGCGGGTAGCAGTTAATTGATTAATCTGCGTCAGTGTTTAGAGCAGTAATTATCTGATTGACTTACGACTCCAGACCCTGAAACCCTCCTTGTACATCTAAAAACAAGAGGCTTGAAGTAATGCAGCTGTACGCGAAAGTGCCCATATCCTGGGGTTTAGGGTACAAGCCCTTATATGACAGTCTAATATCGAGGCATTACATGGGCAATTCTCTATATTAGAGTCCCTTTTCAGGTCCCCCAAATAGTACGGCCTACACTGGGCCTACACCCTACAAAAGCCCTAAACCCTATCAGAACACAAAATCTTAAACCCTACCCAAGAAAGAAACCTGAGAAAGCCGCCAGCTCGCTCTAAGAGGCTGTGTGTCGGTGCATGGTGATGCAAAGCCGACGCCCGGATTCAGCGAGTACCATGCAACACCCGGGCAGCTTGGCTTAGAATTGGGGTTTAGGGTTTCAGGCTGAGGGCTTAGGGCTTAGGGCTTAGAATTGGGGACTTAGTTCTCCAATACCCAACCTTTAAACATTTTTCCTAAACCCTAAACCCTAAACCGATTTAGTAGTAATCTGAAAGTTTGCCATTCTTATTCCCCGGCTTATTGGGGAAGTCAGGGCAGATCTCTGGTCGACTTCTGTAAATATAGAATCTTTCTTCGTTGAACTTTACAGTCACTTTAGAGCTTTATCACTTTTAGGATTAGCCTTTTTTGATATTAGGAGTACTAAAAGTTATAATTTTAGCAAGGTAATGAAGAGCAATCCAGCTTTAATGCTACTCTCGAAGGCTCCTTGCTGTAGTTATAGCATGTTTCTTATGTCGTCGTAGAAGCCTAGATAGTGAGGAAGAGTAGTTTCGAGGGATCCTGCTTTTTGTAGGTGTAGCTGGTAACCCTTGGCAGCAAAATAGCCCAAAAGCCTCAGATAACAGGATCTTTGGGCGCAAAAGCCTTATAATATGAGTCCTTGGAGGGTAACGGTAACCCGTCCTCATCTGCACCTACCCGGCACTAACGGATTCGCGGACTCGGAGCCTGCCGTTTGAGGCCCTCGCGGCTCGGAGCTCCAGGGCTGCTAAGCCGAAAACCACACGACATCAGCCCTTTGAGGTTTTCTTGGACATAATATGGGGGTTTCCGAAATAAGGGACCCTAATATAGTACTCTAAGTAATTGGATCCTTACTACAAGGACCCCAAAGTAAGGTACCCCTAATGTTCGGAAACTCCCATATACTTAGTTCTCCAAGACCCAACCTTTAAACTTTTTGGGTTCTTATAACTTAGTAGCAATCTGAAAGTTTAACGTTTTGTTTCCCTGGCTTATTGGCGAAGTAAGTACAGGGGCCTTAAAAATTACCTATACTATTTTGGGGGGGCTCCTTATGATAATTATAGTAGAATGGGCGGCTAAACCCTAGTCTAATTCTGAAGGCCCCTACAATAAATCAGGCATATGGGTCGCAACCGGTGAGTGCTCGCAATCAACAACCCCCAAAACTACAAACCGTTAACCCTCAACCCTGCAACTTCGTAGAAGCAGTAGTACAGGCAACTACTAGTCACTTTGGACCACTCGGAGAAACTACGGTTTACGGCAAATGACTTACTCACCAAGCCCCTTTTATGGCCTTAACGCATCACGGGACTTTGTCAGTCGGAGTTCCCATGCAGGATTATTCCTAGGATTACCGGATTACCCTCCGTGTGTTGGGCGTTTAGATTTTCCTCTCTTTAAGATGCTCCAAACCAAAACCATATACCCCTAAACTCCTAGACCACATCGACGAGGCTTTGCGAGACCAGGATCCAGAGTTCTTCCTGTGACTCGGTCCGTTGGTAAGGAGTTTGAGAAGGGTACCTCCATAGAGGCGTGTCTCATGGCAGTCGAAAAGTGGACTTTTATAAGGGCTCTACAAGCGTTCATTAGGGGGTTTATGTGGTGGGGTGGGTTTGTTTTTTTTCTGAAGGTTCCTTGGGGGGATCTTTGGTAGCGGGTAAGAACCATGAAGGAAACCTCGCGGTCGTGTTCCGGACTGGTACTTTTGGGGGACCGGCATTTCGAATAGCTACCCTGCACTTTAAGCCCTAAAGCTCCAAAACAGCCTTATAAACTTTCAACCCTGAACCCTAAGTCCCCTTTCTACAAGGCCTGAAAAAAACACAGAACGATAAACCCTAAACCTCAGGCGCTCGGGCTAAGCTACAGAACTCTGTGCGTGTGAGCAAAGGCATGATCTTCGAGTGCGCCTCGTCGCGTGGGCCCTCGACGTGCAATACCACCGATGCTCTGCCGAAGTGTATGCCCTGCCCTGAACCCGTGTGGACGAACGTATAACCTGAAGGGTCCAAGGTACCTCATGGTCAGGTAGTTGGGCGTATCAAAGTAACTCTAGTTGTAGGATACTACTGTTGGTGATATGAATCCTGCATTGCCAAAGGACCCTGAACTCTGGGGATTATGGCATATTCCTTATCATAGGTAATGCAGGGTTTATATCATCAACCGTAGCCAGGGGCGAAGATGTTTAGTTAGCTCCTTCGACTCCTTGTCGGAGTTTGAAGAAAGCTGCGTGCAGCCTCACAAACAGCAAGTATTAGAGTCAAGGCTTGCCAACGCGATTCTTCCAAATTCCTATCACTATTTGAGTATAAACTGTCCCAAACCCCGCTCTACTCATTGAGGTCCGTACTAGAGGGGCCTTAATACTTAGAATAGGGTTTGGGGTATATTATACCATAATGATAGTAAGGAGCCCCCAAAACCCTATTCTAATTGTCATGTTATGCCAGCATGACCTCTCGGTTTCATGGTCTGAGTACTTGAGCTTTGGGGACTGGGTGTCCATGGACGATAGTCGCAACGACAGGCTTCACAGTTAATATAGGGGCCTTAATAGTTGCCTGTACTATTTTGGGGGTTCCTTATTATCATTATAGTATAATGGGCACCAAGACCCTATTCTAATTATTACGGCCCCTGCATTACATGTGTCTAATTTAAACCCTAGGCCCTAATCCCTGAGAGCTTCTGGACTAAATTTCGAAGGGTCCAGGGTTTAGGGTTTAGC